CAGCTGTAGGGGACTGTTTAATTCCCATCCAGCAGCAGCCAGCCGAGCCCGCAGCATTCACCCCCACAGGAGTCGGTGCTGAAGGCACTGGACGCAGCATCCGCTCACTCCCACGGAGCACAGGACGGGGAGGGGGACGGCTGGCAGAGTTAGACGCATCGGCAAGAAAAAAAAAAAAGAAAGAAAAGAAAAGAGCCCAGCCAGCGCAGCCCGAAACACCGAATCCGCTCCCCATCCCAGTACGTGTCCACTGCTCACATCGATTCAATCGACTACAGTCGGAGGGATTAAGGCACGTGTATTTTTGTATTAACAGTCGTGAGGTGTATTTACAGCACGTTTCCCTCCCCGCTACGGTCAGGACAAACGCCAAACGACTTTCCTCTAGATGTGCACAGGCTCCTTTCCCGAGCGCGGGCGCACACAAGACAGGTAATAGCTGGCAAGGCCAGAGGAAGCTGGTTGGTATTTTCCAGTTCAAACATGGGACAGGCAGTCCTCAGCTGTGCTCCCGTGGGGGTGGACAGCAGCAATCATGCCCGTCACCACATCATTGGAAGACACCAATAATTTATTGAAATAAATACAGGTAACAAACCAAACAGCCTCTGGGTTTAAACACTACACGTACGTCGGGTACAATTTCTCTACGCTCTTGGGAGAAGCATGGTGATACACTGATTTTTGGCCACGTGAGCCTTTGCCAAGTCCGGAGCAGCCAGATATGTGCTGGAGATCGGAGGTGGAGGCTCCCAACTTGTCACGCATTGGGCTTCGTTGTAGGAAGGAGTTCGGTTTCAGGAAGATTTCTTTCTTCTTTGTAAGAGTGATTTTTTTTTTTTTTTTAAAACCAAAAAAGGTTAAACCCCAAGTCCATGTTGGCAAGCTGCAAGCTGAAGGGGGGGCTCTGTTCGGATGAGGCCCTTCAGAAGCAAAGGCTGCTCTCGCAGAGCAACCCCGGCAAACCCAGGACTGACCAGGGAAAGGGAGCCCGGCTCTCCAGCCAGAGAGCCACCGTGTCCATGCCGGGACCGGCTGCTCCCGGCCTCCAAACTGGCATCCGTGTGACCTTGGGACCCAGTGGGGACAGCAATGTGGACGCTTCACAAACCTCCTTCCTCTGCCAGGACCGCCCCGGCTACGTCTGTCCTCGGCTGCCACAGTTCTCCAGGGCACAGCCCTCCGCCGACAGCTCCGGGGAGACTCCGGGAGCACAGAGGCCAGAGGGCGGCAGTCAAGCAGGGAAATCCAGTCAACGATAACAAGGGGAGAGTCTTCAGCTCGGACCGGCCCTCGAAACTCATGTCTCCACTACTCGAATGAGAGGCAGCGGCTTGGGGCCCGTCAGCCTTTTGCTGCAAGAAAGAAAAGAAAGGATTAGTTCAGACAGACGAACTGGGTGGGGTTTGAGGGGAAAACCTGTGGGAGAGGTCCTGCCCCAGCCCTGGTCGGTGATGGCTCCCCCCAAAGCTGCCCGCAGGAGGGACCTCTGCCCCCCTGTACCCCCCTGAAGGAGGGATGCGGGAACGGAGACCTCTCTGCAAACAGAAAAAAAATACAGCGCGTTTCCAGAAGAGCATCCCCGAGTCCAGCATCATCTCCCAGACTGCAGCTCCTGCTGCCCCAGATAAGACGTGGACCTGCAGATGAAGCCGCTGAGCACCAGGCAGGCTCCCCACGTACCTGCTCACGTACTCCGACTTCGAGCGCACTCTGGAGCTGTGGCCGCCCCGGCTGACTTGCTTCTCGATCAAGTGCTCTATGCGGTCATGCATCTCCAGGTTCTGCAAGAGACGGAGCCGCTGTTAGCGATGGGGAGCTGGGGACAGGCGGGCTGCGGGCACGCAGATCGCTTGCCGAGGGATGCTCCAGCAGAATCTCTTGAAATGGGGCAGCTTTTTCTTGAGGGAAATGAAATCCAGCCCGACATAAGGACTGCTCGCCAAAGGAGAGCCGGGATGGTTTGTGAGACCTGCCGAACACCCAACAGAAACCCACCAGCACACGATCTCTCTCGCTGGATCTGTTTTCCACCTGGGTTCACGGCGGGCTGTGCTCACACACGCCATCCCCATGCAGAAATTAGCAAAATAAGTCACTGAGGAGGGAAGACAACGCCAGAAGTGCCAATGCAGGTTTTTCCTCCAAAAGAGGAGAGAGGTTTGACACTTGTTACAATCCTAGAGGCTGGAATGCAGTTTTAATTTCTGACACGCACGCACTCAGCTGCAGCTTTGTAAGCAAGAAGGGTTTTGCTGCCAGAGAAATGTGCTTGATGAGATTATTTTGGACTTGGCTTGAGTTCACAGCTGCTCCAGCAACTCCGGCTGCACTGGAAACCATCACACCAGCTCGGGGAACCAGCACAGCCCTGGGGGCTGCGGAGGGCACATTTTCCTACGCGAAGCAGGTGTCAGTGCCAGGGAAGGGCTTTGCTGCCGGCCGCTCTGCCTAGAGCAAAGCTCGTCGCCGCGAGGGAGCCCAGCCATGACCCGCAGGCGCGCAAAGCCAGTCGCACCGGGAGGTTTCAACGGGAGGGTCTGAGCTCGGAGCACGCCCCGTGCACCCCCTGAAATGGCCCCACTAAGACGCACCTCAGCCTCCAAGTAAGCGACTCTCTCCTTGAGCTCCTGGATCATGGCATCTTTGGCCTGAATCACCGTTTTGGAGTTCTGGAGCTGTAAGAGAAAAGTTCACAGCGGCTGAAAATCCCTCTGGTGTACAGCTGGGCTGGAGAAACGTCTAGGAAGGAGGGCAGCTTAGCCAGCCACCCTTCTGCCTGTTAACCCACAACGTTAACTCCAAGGTCTGCATAAAAACCAATCAAAAAAAGCCTCAAATTAAGTCAGAGAATTAATCCCCAGGTGAAGGAGCCTCCGCTCACACAGTTCGAGATGCAACTCTTTCAGCAGGCCAAGCTGGGTGCACAGCACTCCTTTTACACTCCTTGCATTACCTTCCCCGGCCCAGGGCAGCTCGCACCGCAGGCTTTGGGCTGTCACCCCGGGGTCAGTCCCCGCTGCAGGACAGGGCTCTGGGCTGCCTTTGAACTTGTGTCCCTTTGGTTTGCAAAGGGACTCAGCCCCACAAACCAGCAATCCTTTGCTTCCAAGCAGCTTAAGAGATTTTTTAATTTTTTTTTTTCTCCTTTCTCTTTTTTTTAAGTCCCCTCTGAGTCCTCCCAGGCTCTCCCCCATCCACCCTCCCAGCCCGGCCCCGCTCCTCTCACCTGCTCGATCATCTGGCGGACTTTGCGTTGCTGGCTTTTCAGCATGTCGTCCAGATGGTGTATCTTCTCCCGCAGCATGGCCACCTCCTTCTCCAGCTGGGCTGACCTGGGAGAAGGAGAGGACAAGAGTCCAGGAGCCATCGGATGGCTTCCCAGAAAGGGAGCACCCACCCAGCTATGCCCAGAGCAGCCTTTATCAGCCAGGGCTCCTCTACAGCCGCACAGGTCTTGAAATATTTTGACTAGACGAGGCAAGGAGAGGCAGAGACAAAACCCATTCAAGCAGGAGCCACAAAGACTAGCAACCACAGACTGCAGGGACTCAGGAACATCAGGAAGAGTCAGGCCACAAACAAGGCCTTCCAGAAACAAGCCATTGCCAATTAGCCCCTGGAGCACAAGCATACTGGCTGGGTGGAACGAATCCAACATTACGGGGAGAATCGGCTGCAGCAGGGCAGGACCTGCCCCAAGCTCCCAGCCCGCAGCGGGGCCGCTAGAGGTCTCCGGGCAGCCCAGCTCCAGAGCTCCGGATCTCTCGGAGCAGGGAAAAGCTGCGGGAGGTATTTGGAGATTAGTCAGCTCTTGGGAGTAGGGTGCTGTTTTGCAAGCCAGAGAGCAAGCACGCCCTTCACAGGAATGTGCAGTCATGCCCCAGCGAGCTGACACCCCGACCCAGCAGCGTGGGCTTGCTCTGGCAGCCGAGCCGGAGGCCAAGCCTCACCGGTCTTGTTCGGCGAGCTTGTCACCTTCCACGCTTCGCAGCCTCGCCAGCTCTGCTTCGCCTTCTTTCATCTTCAGCAGCAAACTCCTGTGCTCCTGTGGCAGAGCGAGAGGCCGCGTTACACGCACGGAAACAAGTCGCAACACATGCTCCTTGGCCTCCGCTGCACAGCAGCAAACTACAAACACCCAGGGAGCCAGGCAGGCTCAGCTCAGCCTCCCCACTCAATCTGCGGGTTGTTTTCACGAGCATTAAATTTACATGCGAGAGACAGACAGACAAGAGCAGCCGCAGAGATGACCGACAGCAGACGTCCCACTCCTTTACCCCTAGGTTACAGGCAAGGCACCAACCCATCTCCTTCCCCGCTGTCAGGCCAGGGAAGGCAGTCCCAGATCACTTCATCCTCATACTGCACTGTTAGATTTATGACTTAATGTTATTATGAGCAGACCACAGCTGGGGAAAAAAAAAAAAATCAAGGCTGGAGGTTGTGTTAATGCCCCCATGAGAAGAAGAACCGGGCGGCTGTCTAGACTGTGCACTCGTTTCCAGGATACCTGGAAGAGTTTGCACAGACCGACCAGATCTTCTAGACCTGAGAAATGCAAGTCTAAATCAGCAACAGTCGGTTTTCAGCCGTTCCCAGCAGCTGGCTTTGCCCAACGCTTTTGGGTTAAACCTGGTTTGGAAGTCAAACCCTCCGTACGGTGGGTACCCTACAGCCGGTCCAAGACCCGCTGCAGGGTCTGCGCTGAGCACTGCCGAACTTACCACCACCGGGCTTTCCCATTCCTCCCCCAGCGGAGCGGGACCAGGCAGCTCCGCTAACCCCATCAGCCCCCACCGTGGCTTCAGGGCCGGTACCTTCTCCATCCCTGCCAGGAGTCTCTGCAGCTCATCCACCTGCACCTCCTTCTCCGCCACGCTCTTCTCCGCTCTCCGCAGGGCAGAGCTCGTCTGCTCCACTTCCTCCTGGTACTGCGAGACCGTCCTCTGCAAACAAGACGGAGATGCCTTTACCCCCGACCCTCACGTGCCCGGACACCCGAGCCGCCGGAGCCCTTCTCCCGAGCAATGTTTTGAAGCCGCACCGGTGCTCGAAGCCTTGGCAGGCGGATTTTGCCGAAGGCAGCCGGGCGTCTCAGCAAACAGCCCGACATGCTTCAGAGAGAAGAGGTTCTTCAGAAAGCTCCCCGGCTTCAAAGCACTTCAAAGGAGCAAGCGCTTAAATGCTGTAGCAATAAAGGCTCCTCAAACGCAAGAGACATGTTGGTTCTCAGCCACATGCGCTCTGGGGCTGTTTGCAGGCTCCTCTCGGGCCACCTGCCCGAGGAACCGACCTCGGCAGCCAGCCCCACGCCTGCACCAACGGCTCAGGAGCCGAGAGGGGACAAGGGTGTCCCCGTGGGTCCCCACGACAGCTGGAGAACAGGCTCAGACAACAAGGCACACCGAGAACATCTGGACAGTGCTGGCAGGATCACCAGCTGCCAAAACACCCATCCCTGCCATCCCCGGGATCTCCATCCCGGCTCAGAGCCCGCAGTCAGCATCACAGCTGCCCGAAGACCCCAAAATGCCACCAAACCACGCGACTTCCTACGCTCAAGGACAGACGTCCTCGGGGTACATGCCACCGCTGCGGGCAGGTGGACGTCCCCGTGCTGGAGGAA